AACACACCCAGTTTGAGCCTAAAAATAAGGCTTCGTGGCACCCAGGGCCTAGTCGCTTCGGATGGGTGCGAGCTCGTACAGGGTTTCGAAATCGGGGCGCCAAGGCCGGCGAAGCGGCCGGGGGGCGCCGCCATTTCGAAAGAGTGGAGCGGCAGCCCATCCGAAGCGACGGCCCACCTTGCCTGACCATGCTTTAGAAAGCCAAAAGGATGTGTGAAAAAGTAAATGTGGGTTTACGAACGTTTGATCAAATACGTAGGTTTCCGAACTTTCCTCTGGAATTCGTACTGTCTTTTGGTGCTTTTCGTACTACTGCCGCACTCAATATTTCGCCATTTTGTTGCTTTTCTTTTGTAATATCTCGAAATAGAGCTTTTGCCGCCAAGTTTTCTCAACGGATCTCGCACCAGCTCGTCCTGCTGAGCATTTTGACATATTAAAAGTTATGTTTTGAGTGGGTGACCGTATAAGCAAATTTTCCCAAACGTTTGAAAACGTCGAAAATTTGCTCATTTTTCGGCCCAAAAATGAGCAAATTTTCGACTTTTTTAAGAGTTTTTCAAACTTTTGAAAAGTTTATGCGATTCAAATAGGCTTAAATTTTGCTAAAAACAATGTGATAACACTTGGTATTTGATTACTATCCCCCACCAGGGCCGCCAGGAAAAAAAATTGGTTCCCCCCGGGAATACGCAAGTACCCAACTTTTTTATAGTAATTCGACCACGGCGAACATTTTGAGATACCCGCCGCATTAATCGGACGTATGGCTGAAAAGTTACGGCTGGGGGAGGGGGTAAACTAGACTTTAGCCGGCTTTTTTCTCCGGCCACCCCATATTTTGTTGGCAGAGTGCAGCCTGGGCGAGTCGTTCTGCATGTCGATGGACGGGGTGCAGCTGGCGGAGGACAAGATCGGCTGCTACGGCAACTACTATGGCCGCCTCGGCTGCCACTGCGGTGTGTCGGCTCAATCTACTATAATAATTTTGCTGTGGTGTCCGTCCGTCTGTCCGGTGCCGCATTCAACTCGAAGGGGTGGGGGGGAATGCGCTAGAGCTAACAAGGGGATGGTCTCAGCTCGGCATCGAATTTCGATTTGAAAATTTGCACATTGATAGAGCTCGACGAGACGAATCGATCGGTGTAACTTTCAGCAGCAGATACCCCGAACTAACAAAGTTATAAGCATTTTAATTGCCTTTAAATTTTAAACACCAGGAGGCCTTGCCAACAATAAAGCAGCTTTGGAAAAATTAAAAATTTTGTGCCCGTGGTTACCAACCTTGCCTTGCCAACTTACAAAATTTCCAAAAATTTTAAGTAGTGGAATATTTTGCTGCGAGCGCTTCCTGGTGTATACTTCATGCCTAAAAAGTTATTGAAGGCCTTTAGAAGGCCAAGAGGAATCTTCGGACAAAAAAACAAAAAATAAAAATCTGGAGCGGGTTCGAACCCTCGTTAGATTCCCCGGAGGCCGCCTACTACACCACTAGGCCACCAGACCGCGGTGGTGGGGGAAGGGGGAATGCCTATGAAGGTAGGGTGAAGAAAAGTCAAAATGTATGCAAAAATTTAAAATGCTTATAACTTTGTTAGTTCGGGGTATCTGCTGCTGAAAGTTACACCGATCGATTCGTCTCGTCGAGCTCTATCAATGTGCAAATTTTCAAATCGAAATTCGATGCCGAGCTGAGACCATCCCCTTGTTAGCTCTCTTCGGATTCGGATAGAGCGTGGCCAGCAACCCCGAAGCTGATAACAAAAATTACGGAAAAGTTTTCGTTTAAATGATTAAAATTAACTTTAACAGTTTTTTCCTTAGTAAAAGGGGGGTGGGGGGACGGAGGTTGGGGTGATTTTGGACATAGTGAGCCAGGTGGCGCGCGTTTCGCGGATGAAAATTTTCACTGGAGCCATTCCATTTATTTTTTCTCTCATTTCATCCGGTCGGTCGATTTTTTTGCTGTTTTTTTTTGCAATAGATTCAGCTCATTTTCTAGGTACGATTTGGCATTTGCAAATTCAAAATCTGCCACTTTTAGGTTTCTGGGCCAGTCTCGGGCTGTTTTGCGTGCAATAAAGACTTTATAGCGGAACTCGGGAAACCTTGTAGCATCCACCAATCACCACTTTTATAGAACAAAGCAACGGCACCACGCCGCACGATTTTCGCAGTCGCGGTGGGTCGTTTTCTCTCTCTCTCTCTCTCTCTCTCTCTCTCTGTCTCTGTCTCTCTCTCTCTTTTCCACTCTCTCTCCCTCTCTCTCCCACTCGCTCTCTCTCTACCACTCGCTCTCTCTCTCTCTGTTTCTCTCTCTCTGTCTCTCTCTCTTTTTTCCACTCTCTCTCCCCCTCTCTCTAACTCACTCCCTCTCTCTCCCACTCTCTCTCTCCCTCTCTCCCACTCGCTTTCTCTCTGTCTCTCTCTGTCTCTGTCTCTCTCTAACTCACTCTCTCTCTCTCTCTCTCTACCACTCGCTCTCTCTCTCCCTCTCTCTCTCTGTCTCTCTCTGTCTCTCTCTCTTTCTCTTTCTCTCTCTGTCTCTGTCTCTCTCTCTCTAACTCTCTCTCTCTCTCCCACTCACTCACTCACTCTCTGCCCCCATTACAGTGCACCCGGACCATCTGACCCTGTGGAAGTCGCTCCAGCAGCAGCCGGGCGAACTGGTTGGCCTGGCCACCATTGATTGCATTTTGTTCATACCCAGAAGTGCGACTACTTCTCGGCGGCGCCACCACCGACGGCGTCTGCTGCCCCCCTCCCGCCCTTCCTGGCCCTCCGCCACTTCGCCGCCTTCGTCATCCTCATCTACCATGCCCCTCGATCGCGTTACTTTTAGCGTGACACCGTGGGGTGTCTGTGCAAAATAAACGTTTTCGTTTAAAGGGGCTCGGAAGTCTAAATCGGCGCGCGCGGGGGGGGATTCAACCCCACTGGCCAAAAAACGAAAGCGTCACCGCCGAGAAGGGTTAGGGAGGGGCTGAGTTTACCAGCTCCCCAGCTCCTCAGCCACGGGACCCCTTAATGATCCGAGTATCTCAAAATGTTCGCCGTCGTCGAATTACTATACAAAAGTTGTTGCCGAACGCCAAAAATTGTTAGAAAATTTTTTATAACAACTGGAAGTCTGGGTTTTCGTTAGTTAATTTTTGCTGTTCCAAAGTGACTTTTCGTATCTCGGCTATCTTTCGTCGCACAGAGCTGTCAGCGGTACCAAAATGGAGCTCTCGCTCTGGAGAATCCGGCTCCAGTAAGTTTCAGTCAGAAAACACCTCGAAAAACGAAAATATTTGAGTTTGAAACACCGGGTCTACTCTACTATTGCGACGTAATCTTTTCAACCTGTAAATTCTTGTCAACGTTTTTCTAACAACTTTTTTTCAATGTTTTCAGGGACCAAAAAGCAAAGGGTTAGCCAGCGCGAAGATTCGCAGCCGAGGCCAAAAAAATGTTAAAAAGTTGATAGGCAAGCGCGGTACCAATACGCCAATGCACAACCTGTGACAGAGGCCGTGGCGGAATGTTATGAATGGCGCGTTGTCCAGCGCCGAAAACGAGGAAATGGACCCGAAAACAGCTATAGATGCATGCTCGAGATGCGTTGATTGGAAAAGCGAGGGATTGCAATATAGTGTTTATTTATCGTCCTGGGCACCGTCAGTCAGCGCTCGGCGAGGCCAACCAGAATGAACCCCAACGATCATAGGCGAGGCGACCGCCGATGCTGATGAGGATGACGATGAGCACGGTCACGACAAGGGCGACGGTCGTCCAGACGCCGGCGGACGCACCATTCTGAAAATGATTCTTACAGACAGCGGGCAACGGGCCAGCATCAGTTATCTGATACGCTTCCTCCTCCCTCCTCCTCCCCCCGCTAACGCACCAACAGAATCTAAAATATTCCCTAATCAGCTGGCTTACCGCAGGGCGATCGGCGGTGGTCTCGTCGTCCGTCAACGTGGTTGGCATGCTTGGGGTCTCCATCGTGGTCTCATCGTCCGTCAACGTGGTTGGCATGCTTGGGGTCTCCATCGTGGTCTCATCGTCCGTCAACGTGGTTGGCATGCTTGGGGTCTCCATCGTGGTCTCATCGTCCGTCAACGTGGTTGGCATGCTTGGGGTCTCCATCGTGGTCTCATCGTCCGTCAACGTGGTTGGCATGCTTGGGGTCTCCATCGTGGTCTCGTCGTCCGTCAACGTGGTTGGCATGCTTGGGGTCTCCATCGTGGTCTCGTCGTCCGTCAACGTGGTTGGCATGCTTGGGGTCTCCATCGTGGTCTCGTCGTCCGTCAACGTGGTTGGCATGCTTGGGGTCTCCATCGTGGTCTCGTCGTCCGTCAACGTGGTTGGCATGCTTGGGGTCTCCATCGTGGTCTCGTCGTCCGTCAACGTGGTTGGCATGCTTGGGGTCTCCATCGTGGTCTCGTCGTCCGTCAACGTGGTTGGCATGCTTGGGGTCTCCATCGTGGTCTCGTCGTCCGTCAACGTGGTTGGCATGCTTGGGGTCTCCATCGTGGTCTCGTCGTCCGTCAACGTGGTTGGCATGCTTGGGGTCTCCATCGTGGTCTCGTCGTCCGTCAACGTGGTTGGCATGCTTGGGGTCTCCATCGTGGTCTCGTCGTCCGTCAACGTGGTTGGCATGCTTGGGGTCTCCATCGTGGTCTCATCGTCCGTCAACGTGGTTGGCATGCTTGGGGTCTCCATCGTGGTCTCATCGTCCGTCAACGTGGTTGGCATGCTTGGGGTCTCCATCGTGGTCTCATCGTCCGTCAACGTGGTTGGCATGCTTGGGGTCTCCATCGTGGTCTCATCGTCCGTCAACGTGGTTGGCGTGCTTGGGGTCTCCATCGTGGTCTCGTCGTCCGTCAACGTGGTTGGCATGCTTGGGGTCTCCATCGTGGTCTCGTCGTCCGTCAACGTGGTTGGCATGCTTGGGGGTCTCCATCGTGGTCTCGTCGTCCGTCAACGTGGTTGGCATGCTTGGGGTCTCCATCGTGGTCTCGTCGTCCGTCAACGTGGTTGGCATGCTTGGGGTCTCCATCGTGGTCTCGTCGTCCGTCAACGTGGTTGGCATGCTTGGGGTCTCCATCGTGGTCTCGTCGTCCGTCAACGTGGTTGGCATGCTTGGGGTCTCCATCGTGGTCTCGTCGTCCGTCAACGTGGTTGGCATGCTTGGGGTCTCCATCGTGGTCTCGTCGTCCGTCAACGTGGTTGGCATGCTTGGGGTCTCCATCGTGGTCTCGTCGTCCGTCAACGTGGTTGGCATGCTTGGGGTCTCCATCGTGGTCTCGTCGTCCGTCAACGTGGTTGGCATGCTTGGGGTCTCCATCGTGGTCTCGTCGTCCGTCAACGTGGTTGGCATGCTTGGGGTCTCCATCGTGGTCTCATCGTCCGTCAACGTGGTTGGCATGCTTGGGGTCTCCATCGTGGTCTCATCGTCCGTCAACGTGGTTGGCGTGCTTGGGGTCTCCATCGTGGTCTCGTCGTCCGTCAACGTGGTTGGCATGCTTGGGGTCTCCATCGTGGTCTCGTCGTCCGTCAACGTGGTTGGCATGCTTGGGGTCTCCATCGTGGTCTCGTCGTCCGTCAACGTGGTTGGCATGCTTGGGGTCTCCATCGTGGTCTCGTCGTCCGTCAACGTGGTTGGCATGCTTGGGGTCTCCATCGTGGTCTCGTCGTCCGTCAACGTGGTTGGCATGCTTGGGGTCTCCATCGTGGTCTCGTCGTCCGTCAACGTGGTTGGCATGCTTGGGGTCTCCATCGTGGTCTCGTCGTCCGTCAACGTGGTTGGCATGCTTGGGGTCTCCATCGTGGTCTCGTCGTCCGTCAACGTGGTTGGCATGCTTGGGGTCTCCATCGTGGTCTCGTCGTCCGTCAACGTGGTTGGCATGCTTGGGGTCTCCATCGTGGTCTCATCGTCCGTCAACGTGGTTGGCATGCTTGGGGTCTCCATCGTGGTCTCATCGTCCGTCAACGTGGTTGGCATGCTTGGGGTCTCCATCGTGGTCTCATCGTCCGTCAACGTGGTTGGCATGCTTGGGGTCTCCATCGTGGTCTCGTCGTCCGTCAACGTGGTTGGCATGCTTGGGGTCTCCATCGTGGTCTCATCGTCCGTCAACGTGGTTGGCATGCTTGGGGTCTCCATCGTGGTCTCATCGTCCGTCAACGTGGTTGGCATGCTTGGGGTCTCCATCGTGGTCTCATCGTCCGTCAACGTGGTTGGCATGCTTGGGGTCTCCATCGTGGTCTCATCGTCCGTCAACGTGGTTGGCATGCTTGGGGTCTCCATCGTGGTCTCATCGTCCGTCAACGTGGTTGGCATGCTTGGGGTCTCCATCGTGGTCTCATCGTCCGTCAACGTGGTTGGCATGCTTGGGGTCTCCATCGTGGTCTCATCGTCCGTCAACGTGGTTGGCATGCTTGGGGTCTCCATCGTGGTCTCATCGTCCGTCAACGTGGTTGGCATGCTTGGGGTCTCCATCGTGGTCTCATCGTCCGTCAACGTGGTTGGCATGCTTGGGGTCTCCATCGTGGTCTCATCGTCCGTCAACGTGGTTGGCATGCTTGGGGTCTCCATCGTGGTCTCATCGTCCGTCAACGTGGTTGGCATGCTTGGGGTCTCCATCGTGGTCTCATCGTCCGTCAACGTGGTTGGCATGCTGGGGCTTGGCGCCGTGACCTGTTTCTGGTCAAGCAGTCTGCGCAGTGAGGGGCTCACTAAAAATATTGCTATTCATCATTATTCATTGTGCTAAAAGGGCTCTTTACCGGCAGCGGGGATTTTTGCCCAAATCGGCGATTCTGAAAGGGATAGTTCAGCCCTGGAGCTTGAGCAGCACCTTGGGTGACTATCGACGCAGGGTGACCTGCTGGCCTGTGTCGCTGCCCCGAAGATCCCTTTAAAAATCGTCGATTTCGACAAAAATCGCTGATTCCGGGAAAAATCCCCGCTGCCGGTATAGTACCCATCATTTTGCTCGCTAAAAAAGCCGGATGGCGCTACAGCAGTGGAAGCGAAAGATGCTCTCGCTCTCGCTCTCTCTCGCGCGCTCTGTCTCTCTCTCTCTCACTCTCTTCCCTTACCCGACGCAACCAGCTGCGGCGTCGACGCCCCTTGGTGCCAGCCGGAATCTGGAAAGGACCATTGCAAAGGATTCATGATTCAAAGGATCTATTAATTTCCTATCCCCAAAATAAATAGAAAATTCCGAAACATCCCCCCCCCCCAAAAAAAAAAAAAAAAAAACGAACGGCAGCGCCATTGCGCGTTTCGATTTTCAATGTTGACGTAGCAGCCGCTGTCCATGGGCTCCCCCTCCCAGTTCAGCAACGACTCGCAGAAAATGCTCTCCACGGGGCATGCTAAACAATATATAAATGGGGGAAATCAAAGTGTGCGTGTGTTGTTTTTCCTACCATAAAAATAGCTTCACATTGATTTTTTTGCGGGCTATAAAAAATGGCAGATATGGTTTTGGTCGATTTTTACGACCCTCTATCGACTACTGGCGTTACAGTTCTATTTGGCAAAAATCGAGGTGCTAATTCGGTTCTTTAGGATTTGCGGGGGGCAAGACCCAAAATGACCAAATTTTCGACTTTTTCAAACTTGTTTTTAAAGGTTTTTTCACTTTAAATATAGTTAAAATGTAACACAAAACAATGTGCAAACACTTTATATTTGATTACTAGGTCGACCGGGAAAACTCGAAAAACAATTTGGTTTCCCCCGCGCTGGTTTTCATCCTAAAATGGGCTGCAACTTTTTTAAAATGCCGATTAAGCAAATTTGGATAACAGATTCGGAATCAGCGCAAAATTCTGCACAAGATAGGCTTGGTGATGCTGAAAACTGGGATGTCACTCAGAAAAGTCTCCTTGTTGGTAGCAGCGACACGTCGTCTACGGGGCTAGGATTCTGGGAAGAAAGCTAGGAGACGGCAAGAAACCGACGGAAAAAAACTAGTAGTGAAAAGGTTCAAATGGACAAGAAAATTACATGTTAGAAGCCCCCAGACGTAAACGGTGGATATGTTTTTTTGGTAAGAGTCTAGGCACCCCCCTAACTGTAAAGTGTTTTTACTCAGGCTGGCGTTTTAGAATGGGACCAAGCCTATCTTGTGCAGAATTTTTCGCTGATTCCGAATCTGGGTTCCAAATTTGCTGCCGAATTTTATTTAACAAGTTATTCGACATTTAGGCTAAAACATTGACTAAATCTGGATTTTTTGCGTTATTTTTCAAGTTGTCGTCACCTCCGACGTTAAAACTGGCTCGGTAACGGTTTTAGAGGTCAAAGCACGATTTTATGCAAAAAACATGTGTTTTTGTGCAAAAGCAAAAAAATTGTGCAGGGCGGGGATCGAACCGCCGCCCCGTGCCTGGCAAGCGAACAGCTTACCAATGCACCATGGTGCCAACTGGGAAGGGGGCTTCGGGAGGGTAGATAAGGGGCACAACAATACCTGGACCCAGACAGGGAATAGCGGGCCAGCATCCGAATTTATGCCGTTTTTAAGCTTAATTTAGACCAAAAATCACTTTTCAACGCGAAGTCCGCAGCAAATTTGGAAAACGGATTCGGAATCAGCAAAAAATTCTGAACAAGATAGGCTTGGTCCCATCCTAAAACGCCAGCCTGAGTAAAAACACTTTACAGTAAGCCGGCACCAGCTTTTCTATCTCGGCCCCCCCTTTGTGCTAGCCAGCTCTAAAGTATACTAAAATGTTCACAGTAGGCTAATTAGTCAAAGTACATTGCATTTGAGTCTAAAAAAGTAGCGACGGTGCCGCATTCAACTCGAAGGGGAAAGGAGCTAGAGCTTACAAGGGAACCTCAAGTTGGCACGGTGGAGTTTCGAAAAACGCTCGCGGCTACCCCTAGGTTTTCGACTATGGCGATTCCAACGGTCTAGTCAGAATTTCCTAAATGAGCCTCTGGACAGAGATACAGCACTTCCGGAAAATGATGATTTACATCCAAAAAATTAGCATTAGCGATAGGTTTATGAGGCGCTCCCATCACTATGGAATCACCAATTGAATGGCCGACTGGTAAGCGACTCACTTGATAGAATACTGACGAGGGTTCGAATCCGCTCACGATTTTTTTATTTTGCTTTTTGACCAGAACTTTCCGCCCAACTCCAAGTTTTTATTTTTATTCTAGAAAAAATGATTGTTATGGCCCCAGACTGATTACTCCCAAGAATCCTGAAAACTCGTTCTCGAAATTCAAAAAGGGGTCTACCCATATTCCGTTTTTTACAGAGGGGCCTCTATGATTTACTTGGATGAAATTTTTTGCATTTGTTTCGAAGAAGTAACCAAAACTTGGAGTTGGCCGAAAGTTCTGGTCAAAAAGCAAAATAAAAAAGTCGTGAGCGGCTTCGAACCCTCGTCAGTATTCTATCAAGTGAGTCGCTTACCAGTCGGCCATTCAATTGGTGATTCCATAGTGATGGGAGCGCCTCATACACCTATCGCCAATGCTAATTTTTTGGATGTAAATCATCATTTTCCGGAAGTGCTGTATCTCTGTCCAGAGGCTCATTTAGGAAATTCTGACTAGACCGTTGGAATCGCCATCGTCGAAAACCTAGGGGTAGCCGCGAGCGTTTTTCGAAACTCCACCGTGCCAACTTGAGGTTCCCTTGTTAGGTCTCTTCGGATTCGGATAGAGCGCCATCAGAAACCCCCGAAACTGATAAAAAAAAAATTACGGGAAAGTTTTCGTTTAAATGATTCAAATTAACTTTAACAGTTTTTTCCTTAGTAAAAGGGGGGTGGGGGGACGGAGGTTGGGGTGATTTTGGACATAGTGAGCCAGGTGGCGCGCGTTTCGCGGATGAAAATTTTCACCGGAAAGGGGGGATTTCGGCTCGGGGGTGGTACCAAAAGCCATCAGGACGGTATCGAAGTAGTTTTTTAAGGGGGGTTCCGGCCATGGGGGGTATCTAAAGCCATCAGCACGGATATTGCTAAGGTTCGAGAAGGAATGTGGTGTTGTAGAGTATGAGGGGGTAGCCCGAAGGCCAGCCGATTACAGTCGCAAAGCGGTATTGCAATATTTTAAGTTTCCATAAAAATTCTTAGTATATTTTTGTTGATGCTCGATCGAATGGCTTCGAAAAAATGCTCCTCGAAAAAACGGCGAAAATCTCGAAAAATCGGGGGGGCCCTGGGGCGGGTGTAAAGTAAACCGTAGCCGACCCACAAATGATTGTTGACGAGTTCAGCCAGGCCACGAAAGACGACAGATCTTCCGGAACAGGGACCACAATCGTGCGACAAATCGACAAATCCACGCTGCACTCCTGGATTTCCTGGCCGCCGGCTGAATAGAAATGAGGTACTTGGCTGTTAATGGGGGGGCAAATTTTCCCGGGTGCTTTTCCCTACGGCCCGCTACCAAAATAAAAACCATTTTTATAGCATTTTACATAGTTTTAGACGAAAAATTCTCGAAATTTTTTTACCCTTTTTGGTGAAAAAACATGAAAAATGACCATCGACAGGCCAAAGTTTGTGCATTTTTAAATCTTTGAAAATCGTTTTGATCACGTTTTAGCAATCAAAAACTGCTAAAATCACTATAAAAAGACAAAATACAGGGTGTCCCATAAAAAAGCACCCCTCCCGCATTTCGTCATATTACATCCGCTCGGTCCCAAAATTGGCACATGGGTGTATCATACCCTAAATAACCACAATCCTGAGTTATAGCCCGATCGCTACAGTAGTTTTCGAGTTATCGCTAGAATACTCTTTTTTACGCGATTCTTAGCAGTCTTTTCGGCTATCTTTTTGGACTTTGCATCGATTTGCATCAACTTCCGGCTACGAATCCCTAATTTGGCCTAGTATCGGGGTGACTTTGGGTTACAAAAATGTTGAAAACAACCGTTATTCAATTAATTATTATCAGAAAATTTATAGGGTAAAGAAGGCCTGCAGCTTCATTTTCACTCAATATCCGAAGGGTCATTTCCGACGAAAACCTTATGAAAAACCGATAAAAAAGTTTATTTTTGCTGTATCTCGAAGATTACTCTAGCTGGCGGGCTATAACTCAGGATTGTGGTTATTTAGGGTCTAATACACCCCTGGTCCAATTTTGGGACCGATCGGATGTAATATGACGAAATGCGGGCGGGGTGCTTTTTTTATGGGACACCTTCATCTTCATCTTCATCTTCATCTTCATCTTCATGGGACATATCATGGACAGGTAGGTCTAGGTGGAAAAACAGAAAGTGATCCCCCTGCCCCCCCCCCCCCGCTAACAGTCCAGAGCCCCATTCTGAAGGGGGGAGAAGGAACGTACGTTCTTTTACGGGCGCCGCCAACACGGCCCCTAGGAGGAGGCACCACGTGACAAGTAACATTGCGGAAAACAATCAGACAAGCGGGATATCTAAATTTTAGAATCGTTAAATTTCTTTGTTCGGAAGCCCAATGCTGGCGCAAAATTGAAACTGGAATTACCGAAAAGTTTTGCGCGCTCAAAAAACGTAATCACCAGCCCAGCTCCTCAGCCAAAGTTTCTTTATCATAAAAATATTTTTAAATATGGTTTTTCGGGCTATAAAAAAGCTCCTAGTAGATTTTTCGGCCCTTTATCGA